TGCGACTGTGGTTGTGGCTTAATATGGAGAGTCCGAATGATTGGTTGTTGTCAAAGAGCAAACCTGTGGCATGGGAGACTACCAGAGACCCACTTCAGTGCCTACACCAGAAGTGCCCCTTCACTCTGTGGAGACCTTAAGTTCCATATCCATGGTAGGAAAGTGGTGACAGGTGGCAACTTTTAAAACTTCTTAATTCTTTAACCTGTTCGGGTTTGTAAGTCTTTATTGTTAAAAACAATTAAAGCATGCAATATTTATTTGGCACTCAAATGACCTATTCTGCTTTCCAGTTTTCTTAAGGTGGCTCTTACTAACAGATCATGTACTAGCACAACTCCTGCATTCCAAAGGGATGGTTAACCCAGGTCCACTGCTGAAATGATGAAAACTGAACACCCCTTTACTCTGTTACATTTCTTCTTCTTTGTGATGCCAACCGTGGTCACCCATTTATTTATGTAAAAGAATAAGAGCTTTCTGTACCCAACCTCCTGAGGCTAAGGAACCCATTCACACTCGTGACATTTCAGTCCATATTGATGTGTTTCTGAAAAGAACACTAGATCAATTCACACACACAAAAAAATCCTTAATGTAAGGACCTTTGTTTCACTTTTTAAGTGGAAGTAAGGCAAAAAGTATGAAGATATCACGTCAGATACCAGATTGCATCCAATCTGACAGTCTAGAAACTATTGACAAATACAGATTAAGCCCAGATCAACCTACTGCCAATTTTCCCTACAGTCATTACCAAATGGCAAGAAAAACCTCCTTTGTGCCTATGTTTGAAAACTTAGCATAGGTCATATCCATATATAGATATATGTGGATAAATGCTAAACTATAATCACACTAATGACATCAACCATGTAAAGCAGCAACAGCAGCTGAATCACAGTGGTGGCTGTAATATTTAGAGTTCACTAATCAATATTAACTACTCATAACTTGTGTTGGGTTTAATTTTTAATCTTTTCCAGAGCATATACTATGAATACAAAGAAAAGGAAAAATCTTTATTATGAGATTAAGAGATATGAGACTAAGAATGTAACAAAGTCACCAGCAATGTAATGTAAAATGTGTAAATACTATACAGCACTGCCAAAGTACAAGGGCATTGAACTTCATAATGGGAAAGACTTCTTCAGCAGGTTCACTCAAGTTCCTTCCTATGGACCAGATATGACATATTCCGAGAACAAATGTCCCAAGGGGCTCATTTCCTCCCCAGGATATGTTTTGCTTACAAATGAAATAAGATCAGCCTACTTTGCAGGCAGGGTTGTACTCATTGTCAGTTGCAGAGTGTTGTTCGAAGTGTTTAAATACCCAGCTATTCAGTGAAATGCAAGCTGTACGGGTTTTCAGGTCTTCTAATCAAACAAACCTGACTATTCTGGATCTTGTTTGCACCATTTCGGAAATAATTAACAGGATCCAAAGCGATTCTCATTCGGTCCAGACTCTTTTCTTGGTGAAATACCAGTTTTGCAAGGCTGTCGATGGTGCCGCGTGTGCGCGCAGCGCGGCCCCGCCAGACAAAGGCCGTTGCTGCCATCTACTGAGGAGGAGAGGAAACGGGACAAACATGCCCAAGCGTCAAAAATCCCTTACTGATGTCCAGTCCAGAGAGCAATCCGTGCAAAAGGCGATGCCATCAGGAACCCCAGCTCCCACCATCCACACCGTGGAAAACTGAAATCCACGAAAGTTCTTCAACTCCGTCTAAACCAAATCATCAATGAAAGGAGTGGAGCCCAGCTGTTTGTTACTGTCGTAGTGTAGTCAGGGAACGCAGCAGGCACTCAAAAGCTATTTAGAATCATAGAATGGTTTGGATTGAAGGGACCTTAAAGCTCATCCAGTTCCAAACCCCTGCCACAGGCAGGGACACCTTCCACTAGAGCAGCTTGCTCCAAGCCCCTGTGTTCAACCTGGCCTTGAACACTGCCAGGGATGGGGCAGCCACAGCTTCTCTGGGCACCCTGTGCCAGCGCCTCAGCACCCTCACAGGGAAAAACTTCCTTTTATCTAACTTGAATCTCCCGTTTAAGTTTGAACCCATTACCCCTTGTCCTATCACTACATTCCTGATGAAGAGGTCTCCTCTGGCATCCCTATAGACCACCTTCACATACTGGAAAGCTGCTCTGAGGTCTCCATGCAGCCTTCTCTTCTCCAGGCTGAACAGACCCAATGTTCTCAGCCTGTCTTCACATGGGAGGTGCTCCAGTTCTCTTATGACCCTCTTGCCCTCCTCTGGACTTGCTCCAACAGCCCCACATCTCTCCTATGTTGCGGACACCAGAACTGCGCACAGCGCTCCACTACAGTACTTCAGCGGTGCGGGGAACTCTCGGAGGGGGGCCAGGTCCGCACCGCTCTCGCCACTACAGGCCTTTGGGGGAACCTCATCAGCTGTGGGATGCGGTAGGGATGCAGCCACCGCAGAGCCCAACCCCACCTGCACCACTCTCCACCGCCCAGCATCAATACAGCGCGCTCTCCGCCCGGCCGCGCTTGGTACCGCCTCCAGAGGGAGCCCCTGCGCTGAGTGGAGCAAGCTTCTGACCGGCGTTAGGAAGGACCAATCAAAGAGCGCCTCCGGCATGCCTGCGAGCCAATGGAGGGGAGGCGAAGCGGCCTTTGGCCGGAAGTGGCGGTTCGGCGGCCGCGCTGAGGGTAGCTGGGCGGGCAGGCGAGGACGAGCGGTTGTCCGTGGGCTGCGAGCGGGGCTGCATCGTGCGGCGGTGCGTGGTCAGGCGCCGGTGGGGTTTTGCCGTAGCGCGACCTAGGCTGTTTTGTCTTCGTCTGTGGCCGGGAGAAACCTGCGGCAGGGCTTGGGCCTTCCCGGAGCCCGGCCTGGCCTAGCTTAGTCTGGCTCTTCTCGGCCGGGAGAACGGGAGGCTGGCGGCGACTGTGGGCCCGGGGCGCCGCCTCCCCTGAGGGCGATGCGTGCCCGCCGCTGGCCTGCGCGGCTCCTTCTGTCGCGGGGCGTGATGTTGTCGTACCAAGCCTGAGGAAGGGGTCTTCCCGGGCTGCTCTGTCGTGGTTCAGGAAATGAACGCTTTATGTGCCTCTGGTGAAGTTAATCCTGCTGAAGGCATACCTTAGTGAAAAGCTGGTGTGGATTTATTCAGTTTCTTGTACTTTGTGCATTGAAATGGCTTTCTTCTGGCTCATTTTTCTCCCTTATGTTGCTTTTGTTTCTATTCGTACAATAAGGTGGTCACACAAGCTGTTTAATGTGTATTTCTCGGGACATTTCCTTAGGTATTTTCATCTGTCAGAAATGGGTGAACCTCAGCAAGTGAGTGCTCTTCCTCCACCTCCAATGCAGTACATAAAAGAATACACTGATGAAAACATCCGTAAAGGCCTGGCTCCAAAGCCGCCACCACCAGTGAAAGACAGTTATATGATGTTTGGTAATCAGTTTCAATGTGATGATCTGATCATTCGACCCTTGGAGAGCCAGGGTATTGAACGGTTGCATCCAATGCAGTTTGACCACAAGAAGGAATTAAGAAAACTTAATATGTCCATCCTGGTCAACTTTTTGGACCTCTTGGATATCTTGATAAGGAGTCCAGGGAGTATAAAAAGAGAGGAGAAACTGGAAGACTTGAAACTGCTTTTTGTTCATGTCCATCATCTTATAAATGAGTATCGCCCTCACCAAGCTAGGGAGACACTGAGAGTCATGATGGAGGTGCAGAAACGGCAGCGTTTGGAAACAGCAGAGCGGTTTCAGAAGCACTTGGAACAAGTTGTAGAGATGATTCAGAACTGCCTGGCTTCCTTGCCTGATGATCTGCCTCATTCAGAGGGAGGACTGAGAGTGAAAGTGGAACCAATGGATCCTGGTGATGGCAACAACTGTATCGGACACAGCGAAAAGCAGAGAGAGCGTTCTGGTAGCAGGAGAGATCAGGTTTTAGACAAAGACGCAGCTATGTGTAGCATTATTGATGAAATGACATGAAAAACCCACTTTTTTGAGCTCATTGTAGTGAGAGGCACAATGGATTCTGAAGGTATGCATTGCTGCTGTACAAGCAGACAGAGCATTGTACACCTGCTGGAGGTCATGACTGACTAGGCAGCTGAAAGTGTTTGTTTTGTGAACTGTGTGGTTATTGGTAGAACCAAAATGTATACTTTTTGTTAAATACATCATGTGAGATGGTAGCCACAGATTAAAGTTAGCTTCTGTTGTACTTTCACTTGTCACTTTCTGCTTTTTTGGGGTATGTTTTTTTTTTTTTTTGTCAATTGCTTTATAGTGTGGAAGCAAATAAAGGATCTGAGAGGAACTGCAGTTGAGAGTTCCTCCATTCCAAATAAGTGTATTTGTTTACAGTATCAGAGGATCTTTTCAGGAATGTGTACTTCAGTATTAAAATCTGTGTAAAGTCTGCAAAATCTGTTCCTTTCTGGTTTGGTCGTAATATAACTGTACTAAAGAGAACCTAAGAATTTCTTTATTACTGCCCTAGTTTCAGCTGGGAGAAAGTTAATTTTCTTCCTAGTAGGTGGTGCAGTGCTGTGTTCTGGCTTTAGTCTGAGAACAATGCTGGTAACACGCCTATGGTTTAGTCATTGTCAAGTCCTTTGTACCTTGATCATGGATTCTCAGTTTCCCATTCTCTGTCAGTGGGGAGGGACACAGGAAGCCAGGAGAGAGCACAGCCAAGACGCCTGAGCTGAACTATCCAAAGGGATATTCCATACCATAGAATGTCATGCCTAGTACAGAAACTGGGGGGACTTGGCTGGGAGCCATGGATCACTGCTCAGGGACAGGCTGGGCATTGGTCAGTGGGTGCTGAACAACTGTATTGTGCATTACTGTTGTTTGCTTTGTTGTGGAGTTTGTCTTATCTCTCTGCTGTTTCCCTTTTCACCATTATTAGTAGTATTATGCCTTATTTTAATTATTAAATGCTCTTATCTCAACTGATAGGTTTTAATTTTTATTTTTGGTTTTATTTTCCTCTCCATTCTACTTGAAGGGTCAGGGTAGAGGGAAGTGAACCAGCTGTGACTTAATTGCCAGCTGGAATTAAACCATGATGATCACAGATGATATAATTTGCCTTATAGCGACACACTTCTCAGGAATCTGAACAAGTAAATGAATTAAAATTAATTGGGTTTTAATTTTCTTAATTCATAACAAGTCTTGAGTTTACAAAAATGTCTGCCTTGGTTTTTACACATAGATGCATATACTGACATTTCCTCCATAGTTAAGATACCTTCATGAAGTGAATCATTTTGCAGTACAGGTGCTTTGTATTTGCTTTTCAGGTGAGCCCTGTGCCCTGCTAAGTGTTTTTCTCAGGGAAGAGAAGTCTGGCTAGGTAATTAGCCTTTATAGTCATTGAGAACTTATGAGTTTGAAAGAGCCTGTAAGTACTCCATCAAGTGGAATCCGCATCAACTGTGTTTAAAAAACATTTGAGTTTAATCAACCCCTCTATAGCAAGAGGAAAAGAATGACTTGACAGTGAAGGAATGGCTTCTTTACCCTGCCTTTCCTGTCAGGGAAATCTTACCTCCATCTTTTTGTCATGTTAACACCATAGTATAGGATCATAGAATCATTTTCATTGGGTAATTTTGTTGTTTTCAGAAATGTTACTTAAATGGGCAGGCAAAAGGTTGTAGGGATTGAGCTCAGTGCAGATGAACTAAAGTATGTTTATGACTCCTTGGAGGACATCATCTGCTATTTTAAGTGCAAGTAACAGGAAGTAGAAAGTAAGGTTTTTTTAGAAATGTATAAATAATTCTACAAAGTTAACACTTCTGTCCTTTACTCAGCCACTACTGTTTCCTTCCTTCCTTCTCTCTGAACTAGCTATAATTTGTATTGCTTGTAGGTAACTAAAACAAGTGCACGTGAGCAAAATTGATTTCGTATCTACTTGTCTGCTATGTTTTTTCATGTGGAAGATCCAGAGAAACATTTAGTGCCTCCAGGGTAAGTTTGTCGTGGTCCTTTTAGCTTCCCCATTCAAAAAGAACTGTCATAAATGATCAGTGATTTTCTGTTGATATTTGTCTAATTTTTATGCTTTTAATAAATTTGTAGGCCTGGGTACCAAAATACTACCCAAGCTGGGTCCTGTCAGCAGCTAAGCATTACAGTAAGCTTCTTTGTGAAACCATTGAGGTAATTGAGGAGTGTGTCATTTAAAGAATACTCAAAGCTGCTTTCATTGTCAAAAAGGTTTCATGAATAATTTCTTTATTCTAGATTATCCTTTTTCTATGTTTAAGGCAAACATTGGAAAGCTGTGGGAGGCTTCCAGGGCTTTTTTCAGCCAAAACATGGACTTTTTCTTCCATTGTCAACTATCAAAGCAATGATAGTTGTCACTTTTTCTATTACAACTTTGGTTTTGGAAAACAGTGGTTGGGAGCTGCAGTGGAGTCAGTCTCAGGAAATGGCATTTCAAATGCTGCAGGATGATGTGACTCTGAGTAGCAAATTTGTTTGTAACTATTCTTTTCTCCAGTGTGTTAATTAACTTGCTCCTGATGATCTTTCCTTCCCTCAGCAAATCCTGATTCTATTTTTGGACAGGATAACATCTGAAGTGTTCTGCTTCAGAAATGTTAACATATGCAGTATGTGTTGGATTATATATGCCTTATGAAACTTGATGAGAGAAAGTTGATGTCAGCACTTTGTAGGCTCTTAATTAAAAAAAAAAAAAAGGAAGGAAAAGAAAAAGCCCAGCCCTGCTCTTACACTATCTGAACAAGCACAGAGCTAACAAGTACTACAGTTACTTGAAAAGTTCCACAAGTTTCTTGATACAGAGAAGCCGAATGTGTCCTCAGTGGGTTAAAGTGGAAAGTTGGTAGCTCTATTCATCTAGGGGGGGAAGAAGAATAAGTTATTTAATGATACGGCTTTAAAATAGTGAAAAAAAAAAAAAAGATGTTTTCAATAATGCTTTAAGCTTATTCCAATATTTAATGTTTTGCTTTGGTGTTATTTTCACAAAGTATGATCTGACTCTGTGCTCTGAGTCAAGAAAAAATGAGCATCTGCTTAAAAGGGCTGCATGAAAAAGCTGATGGCACATTTTCTACAGAAATAGTGCTCACTTCTTGCACAAACTGAAAACAGGAACTTGGAAAACAGGCAAGTAGAAACTCAGAGATTATATCAAGGCTTTCCATTGAGGAAGTGTGGTCTGGATGATCAGGTAGTGAGGTGGACTGTGAACTGGCTGAAGGAGAGAAGCCAGAGAGTTGTAGTCTATGGGGCGGAGTCTAGTTGGAGGCCTGTAACTAGTGGAGTGCCTCAAGGGTCAGTACTGGGACCAGTATTATTTAATATATTCATCAATGATTTAGATGAGGGAATTGAGTGTACTATCAGCAAGTTTGCTGATGACACTAAGCTGGGAGGAGTGGCTGACACGCCAGAAGGCTGTGCTGCCATCCAGCGAGACCTGGACAGGCTGGAGAGTTGGGCAGGGAATAACTGGATGAAATATAACAAGGGAAAGTGTAGAGTCCTGCATCTGGGCAGGAACAACCCCAGGTTCCAGTATAGGTTGGGGAACGACCTGTTAGAGAACAGTGTAGGGGAGAGGGACCTGGGGGTCCTAGTGGACGACAGGGTGACCATGAGCCAGCACTGTGCCCTTGTGGCCAAGAAGGCCAATGGCATCCTGGGGTGTATTAGAAGGGGGGTGGTTAGTAGGTCGAGAGAGGTCCTCCTTCCCCTCTACTCTGCCCTGGTGAGACCCCATCTGGAATATTGTGTCCAGTTCTGGGCCCCTCAGTTCAAGAAGGACAGGGAGCTGCTGGAGAGAGTCCAGCGCAGGGCAACGAAGATGATTAAGGGAGTGGAGCATCTCCCTTATGAGGAAAGACTGAGGGAGCTGGGTCTCTATAGTTTGGAGAAGAGGAGACTGAGGGGTGACCTTATTAGTGTATATAAATATATAAAGGGGGAGTGTCACGAGGATGGAGCCAGGCTCTACTCAGTGGCAAACAATGATAGGACAAGGGGTAATGGGTACAAACTGGAACACAAGAGGTTCCACTTGAGAAGAAACGTCTTCTCAGTGAGGGTGACGGAACACTGGAACAGGCTGCCCAGGGAGGTTGTGGAGTCTCCTTCCCTGGAGACATTCCTGTGTAACATTATCTAGGTGTTCCTGCTCCGGCAGGTGGATTGGACTAGATGATCTTTTGAGGTCCCTTCCAATCTCTAGCATACTGTGTGTATACTGTGTGTATACTGTATGTATGGACTGTGAGGTGAAATCTAAAGCAAGTGGGTTAACTGTTGCCCTGTAGCTATCACATTCTCTTATGTGACCAGAATGGCTTTCCTGGGGATACAGACAGCACCCAAACTACTGTAGACTATTGTATGAACAAAACAACCTGGGTGAAGTGAATAAAATGGGCTCAGGCAGAGTTTTGGGATAACTTTCCTTGTTTTCCTACCCTATTATTTCAGAGCTCAGATGTGGCCCGTGTGGAAGAAGAATACATGTGGACCTGTGCACACTGCATGTTATTGCATATAACTGGCAGAATGGATGTGTCCTGGTCTGCAGGTGTCACACACTGAACCACCAGGAGTTCATCAGCCAGTGCCATGCACTATTATGGCTGTTAATGATTAGAATTGTTCCTCTATCACTTATCTGCAGTTTCTGTTTCCCCAAACACGAGGAGCAGAGGAAGCGTTTTCTTAAAGAGTCCTCCTTCCAGACACCACAGGCAAAAATCCCCCTTTATCCTTCCTTTCAGTTCTCTCCTACAAGTATATTGCTGATGTCTATCTCCCAGCTACTTCGATCCCTTGTTTTCCTCCTTTTCACTTAAAGAAGCTGTCACTTTGGTGACTCTGTTCTCATGTAAGGTAGACAAACAACACAGCTTTGTTGGTTCTTATTCTAGCTTCATGTATGGTTTTGGGTATGCTTTTGGAAGCATCTCTGCTGTTGCAGTTGTTGATACCAAGTTACTGCTTAGGACTTAATTCTGTATGTATAAAACAGCGTGAGGTAGGTTAGTTGCTTCAGCAAAGAACGCTTGTTGGCCCTAGATCAAACACACTTGATCACAGCTGTGTTTCTAATCCAAGCAACATGAAAAAAGGCATGATGTCCTCAAGAACAGCTAGGTAATCCAGAGACAAAGAGAGTGGCCAAGGAACGCCACTTCTCAAAAGCTGTATTTCAGTGAGTCTTGAGCCCAGGGTGATATGGTTTCCACATTGCTTTTGAAGTGTCCCGTGTATTCTGCATGTTTTACTTTATATTGCAAAAGCTCAGATGCAGACAGAATTTTTAAGAGTCAAATGAAAAAAGACTTGGCTCTATTGGGCTACAACTGTGCAAGAGTAGGACAGCCTTTCAGCAATACTAAATTCTAGCCTACAAAGATGCTTTGAGTTGCATCTGTTAGAACCAGAAACTTATGATTAAGTACTTCGGTACTTTGTCCTAAGAAACTTGTTTTTGCCAAATTCTTTCCATGTACCACAGCCTTACATAGCCTGGGTAATTTCTTATCCAAATTGTCTGCTATGGCAAACATGGGCAGGGGAGGCAGCATGGGGCAATTGGTTACTGAGTGCTGTGTCAGCTCAGTGGTGCTGACAACAGTTTCATCTACTGTAATCAGACAGATCTGGAAAAAATGAGAAGTAGATTTCTGAAGTGCTGCAAAGTATCTTAACCTTTTAGTCAAACCACAGTCAGCAACAGTTCAGTTGTGGACACTGCCACCAGCAGCAGTCCTTGCCTGTGCTGCTAGAGACTATCAGACTAACCACAGGAAAGGCAATCCGGATTAGACTAAAAGGGCATTTGTGGCTGAAAATGACACAGTAAGGAGTAAAACCAGAAGTCTGTGAAGAAGATAACTTTTCTTGAATGTCCAAAGGGTCATCAGGAGTGTTGTTCCTCATCTTCAGCCACAATGTCATCTTGTTTCTGCATAAACTGGGTTCTTCTGATCCTCTTGACAGGTAACTAAGTGGGTCTAAGTGAATAGGTGGAGCTGGATGGGGTTAACATGCATCAGTGTTTCTGAGGGCTGCAATGTTGTGTTACAACGGAAGGGTGACCATGTGGCACAGAAGCTGCATGTTTGTGTTATTGATAGAACTTTGTCACTGTGGCTCAGTATCTTCTTAGTCTTATTTCCTTTTTAAAACAAAATTATATTGAGGGTATGTATGATGGTTTTAAAGATGTTCCTGCTAGTCTTATTATTGAATTATCTTTTGGGTTTTTTAGGTAATTACAATCTGAGATGAGCAGAGAACTTTAAATCATTTGAGAAAACATGTAAAATGGATATTTCACTTCAACTGGCCTTGTGAAGGGGACTGCTTAGGAAAACAGAGTAAAGGTCAACTGTGGCTTCTGGTGGTTTTTAGCCAATATGAAATTTTATTGGAACAAATAGATAGTTTCTCCTTTTTTGTTCTGATAATAATTCCTTTTTAATTCTCTTTTCTGTTCTGGGAAAATATTGTTAAAGGCAATAGCACTAAAAAAACAGGTTGCAGGGTGGTAGTAGTATAGGCAGCCAGGTGGTGGTAGGATAAGTTCAGCAGACAGAAAAGTTATGTCACAGATACTGTTCCTTGTAGTTCTTTATAAAGCCTTTTATGATGAGATTCATTTCAAGCTTGCTGTTTTATATTAAACAAAATACGTTAGTTTCAGAGATTAGTTTCTAGTGCACTATTGTGGCAAAATCTCTGCATGCGGAGTTGTTTTTAACTATAATAGCTTAGGAAAATGACTGAGCTGGGCAAAACAACTTTTTCACAAGGGACAATGGCAATCAAGCCCATATAGAGCATGTGATCTACTGGTGCCTGTTGGCAAATATGCCTTGGGGAGCTCCCTTCCTAATTACAGACTGCTAGACTTAATAGAGATAATTTGTTTCCTGTACTTGCTGCAGGGAATTCTATCCCTGAAACGTTAATACAGATAGATTTAAATATTTGCGCATGATCCCATGTTACTGAATTGGATTAGAAATACGTGGTAGTGAGAATATGACAGACAGTTTACTTTGAAGTACAAATAGATGAAATGTACAACTCAGGAGCCCTGCTGCATAACCTGTTAGAAGAAGGTGGCTACAGGCTGGCTATAACTGGATCACCAGAGCACAAATGATTTTGTATGGCACTTAACACAGCTTTTATCAAAACCCTCCTAAAGGGAATATTGACTGGATTGGTCTAAATACAGCAAAATAAACTATTTCACAGTGATGAATGGGGCTGCTGGCTGCTAGGTCTCACTGTTCTAACTTGAATTGAGTGACACAACCTTCTGGAAACGTCAAAAATGACCTTTAATGGGAAACAAACAAGTTAGAAACTGCATAAGAATGAGGGAAGAAAATAAGGTAGTAAAAGAAGAGGGTATAAAATCTCTTAGAAAAGCTCTGAAAAATATCTCCTGATAGGAATGGTCTAAATCTGGCATTAAGCAAGAACAAAGGGAATTCATTCAGTAGTGATCATTCTGATGAAACCTGCCTTTTAGTGGCTTTTCATGGAAAGGGAGGGAGGGTTTCCCCACAATGATTTTAATGACGGTCAATGTCCTGCTGTTCCTCCATGTGTGGCTTGGATTAAATCTAATCTAAGGCAGAAACTAACAAGATAACTGACTGGACGTGGCTAAAGAGATGCCACAGAGATGTGCAGATCCAAAACTCTATTTTCTCTTTACCTCTCTGCCTACCTGCAGGGGCTACAGAAAGTATATTTCTTCTTTCTCTGGCTAGAGATGCATTCTGAACCAATCAGTTGCCCAAGTGTTATTCCTCACTGCTGGGATTCACATCTATTCATGGAAAACCTAACCCAGCAGTGCCTGGTGGTGTTTGCAAGATGGGAGGTACAGCGTCATGCCAGATGTGTGAAAAGCTTCCACTTGCATGCCCTGTGCTCAACAACTGTTTGTCTTTTTGTCCGCAGGCCCCACAGTATCAGAATCGGTTGTGAAAGGAGAGGCTGGTCAGAATGTCACCGTGCCCTGCTTTTACAGTGTTAAGAGTACATATGACCTCACATCAATGTGCTGGGGTCGTGGCAGCTGCCCCTCTTCAAAGTGTTATCAGCCCATTATCTGGACAGACGGATGGAAGGTGACAGTACAGTATGACAGCAGGTATACGTTGAAAGGGAACCTGCTTGTGGGTGACGTGTCCCTCACAATCATGAATGCCAAGGAAGAAGACAGTGGGACATACTGCTGCCGTGTGGAGATCCCAGGGTGGTTCAATGATCAGACTAGTAACCATGAGGTTGTGATAGAGAAAGGTGAGTGCAGAGGTGTGTTCTTGTGTGAGTACCATTGTGGTAAATCTGCTGTTGGGTCTGGATTTCAAAGCTTGTGGTGGAAATGATTTCTATAATCATCTATAGGACAGATCTTTAGGACTTTGCAGAACTGCTGCTACTGCTGTTTACATGAAGCTGTCGTTGGCATTGTTGTAATCCCAGCACAGTCACTGCAATTAAAAAAAGGACATGGTGCTTTGTTTAATGGTGCACAAAGCTACTGAGCTTTCTTAGAAACGCTATTTGAAGAATTCAAGGGAAAGGGCACCACAGTCTAATTAATTCATCCAGAGCATTATAGTTTTCATAGAAAAGGGTGGCTCATTTTCCCTGCTTGATTCTAGAGTAAAGCACAGAGGCAAAACATTAGTATAGACTTGTTGGTTTTAATAGAATCTTCCTCTGATTTTTAGGTTTTTGTCCTGTTTGTAAAAAGCATGATAATGTACAGAATAAGTGACTGGCAGATGGACTGTGTAGCTGGTGCTAGTGAATTTATTATAGAAACACTTTATTCTTTTCACCACATAAATTCACACTAAGGTTTATTGTAACGTATGTTGGTTTTGTTTTATTTTTTTAATATCAGCTACGATCTCTACAGCAAGTCCTCACACTTACACCTCTGAACAGACCTCAGGTAACTTTTATCCGAGTATTAATCTCAATAGCATATATGAACTATATTGCAAATGGGGATTTTAGGAAACAAAGTGACAGATGATAGAAAATTTGGCTAAAATTTATTAAACATGACCATAGAACCAGAGATCAGAACTTGAGTTTAAATTCTGACTGACTTTCTATAGAGTCCAACAGGAGGAATGTGTATACATGAGAGGAAGCTTGATTCCAGGTGTTACGCTTAAGTAGATGTTTTATTGGTGCTGTAAGCATTGTTTTCCTTGTGGCTGTTGTTATGGTGTGTTGTTTTATTTGTGCTAAAATGTCTTCTGGAAATGCATTCCATGAACAGGAAACCACAATTTTTTAGGAGTTAGGTGTTTCCACTACCTAGTTTATTTGTTGCTTTATAATATAGAACTGTTTTACCAGGCTAGCTCAAGGTACATCTAATTCAGGACCC